GTCGTCTCCTTTTTCTTTTTTTTTTTCTTTTTTTTTTTTTTTTTTTTTGTCCTCCTGGAGGAAAAGATTTGAGTGGAATTTGTCATTTAGCTCATTTGTAATTTCAATTTTCTCTGAGTTCTTTAACAAACAGTTAACTATAAAATTAGACATGTTCCTCCATTCACTGTGTTTTATCAACGTGTTTTGCAAAATGAGCTGACAGAGGGAGAAGGTGAGCATTACATTTAGTTGTGTCACTGCACTGGTAATAACCATTTTACCACAATCAATTAGCTAACCACAACAAGCACTGGCTCAATAATAGACATCTTCAGCAGGGTTATTAGTATAAACCAAATCCAAAACCATAAAAATGTTACTTAAAATAAACATTACCTGAATTAAAATATTAATATTATATAAATATTATTTAAGCTAGTTGCCAAAAGCAACATTTCTCATTTTCATTTAGTTTAACTCAAAGTACTAAAAATAACTAAAACTGAAATAATATATGAAAATGAAACTAGTCATCAGCAAACTAAAGAGGTCCATTAAGATCCACTTAATTGATAGGAGAAATTATTAACTCATTCTGTCATTATTTACAAAAGATGGGAAATTTTCAATAAATAAGACTTACATTTCAGTCTGTTTCTCACACAAAGCTTTTGTGTCGTTTCAGAATAAAAGACACTTATAATAGCCAGATATGGCAAAACTTTGAATAGGCTACTTTCCAAATAAATTGTCAATCGAAATGGTAATAATGCCCTCTAGTGGATAAGCCTTGTCAATGCGATTCACAATCAAAAAGCCCAGCACAGCGAAGCCGTCTGTCATTTGTAATGATAATAGTGTTATCACTTCGTACAAAATGACAAAATGAAATTAAAATTAAAACATGTGTGTGTGTGTGTGTGTGTGTGTGTGTGTGTGTGTGTGATTACAAGGAGAAGGTGACTTTTCAGGACATTACCCCATGTCCCCACTTTTCAAAACGCTTATAAATCACACAGAATGGAGTGTATTGAAAATCTGAAATAGCACAAAGTTTCCTGTAAGGGGTAGTTTAGGGGTAGGGTTGGTGTAGGGCAATAGAATATACGGTCTGTACAGTATAAAAACCATTACGCCTATGGAGAGTCCCCACAAGGATAGCTGACCAGACATGTGTGTGTGTGTGTGTGTGTATATAAATAAATATTTTGAAACATTGAATAAAAGGTAATGAAAACGTAATGTTGCTCACCACAGCCAAAGTAGCACCAATCAAAAATAAATTTGAAAGAGAAAGAAAACAAGGTCAGCTCTATAAACTGCTTTAGACTCTTCTTCACACTGGGTTGAGTTGAAAGTGAGAGTGGTGAAAAAAGAGACATGCTAGAATTAACTGTTAAATCAACTACTGTGTAGATTTTGCCTGACCCCTATATAGTCCTGTGTTCTTACGTGTTGTTCATAGAATAAAAATCATAGGCCTATGCATGAATATATATACCAAAATAAAGCTGATTCAACCAACACAAGAAGAAAGTGATAGAAAATACTCACCTTTTGCAAAGCTGAAGTCAGACAATAAAATAGTAACCACACGTCATGAGAAGCATCTGCTTGTTAGAAATGAGCATTTTTAGCATATTTCCATATTAAATCAGATCTGCCTGAGTTACATTACATTTAATTCTTAAAATATTTTAGCTACTGAAAAGTGTTGAAAACCAATAGTTTCCTCACTCTAACTAGGTTTTCACACCTTAAGGAGGTGGTTTCTGTTGTATGAGCAGAGCATGACAAAGTGCAGTTGTTAGTCATTTAATTTCATTAATCTGTATGAATGTTTTGTTAAATATACACAATTATAGTAGAAGCTAAGAACAAACTGTGTTAAAAAATATTTGTAATCTAATATGCAGATGTTAAAGTTATGTCTTTACTGTCCTCCATTCACACCCAGAAGATCTCCAGTCATGCTACCAGGATTGAACAGCATCGTCTCTTCGGGATGTGATATCTGTCATTTCCTGCATTTGTTCAATTTCCCAACATGAAATATGTCCTAAATTAAAGTGCTAGCTCACCCAAAAATTACAATTCTGTCATCATTTACTCACCCTCAAGTTGTTCCAAACCTGTTTGAGAATATGGGTAGCCAAACAGTTGCTGGTTCCCATTGACTTCCATAGTATGGAAAAAAAAAATACTATGGAAATCAGTTGGGACCAGAAACTGTTTGGTTAGTCATTTTCTTCAAAATATCTTTGTTTGTGTTCAGCAGAAGAAAGAAATTCATACATGTTTGGAACAACCCAAGGGTGAATAATAAGTGCAGTGTGTTTAGTGTATCTCTTTGTTCACACACTCATAATTTATACACATTTCTTTAAATTGACACTGATTAATCTGAAACCAGAATTACATTTTATGATTTAGGTGTACAGACAGAACTAACACATTCATGTTGACCTGAACTTTTGTTATTATTTTACGCAAGTTACTCCATATACATTCAAAAGCTTGGGGTCAGTAAGATTTTATGTTTTGAAAGAAGAGTCTTATGTTCACCAATACTGCATTTATTTGATCAAAAATACAGTCAAAAACAGTAATATTGTGAAATATTATATAAGTACTAAATGAGATCATTTGCACGTAACCATATTTGTTATTCATTTAATGCAGCCTGTAAAGTCACCTTTAAAATGCCATTAAATGGTAAACATTAGGGTCCTGGCAGTTCCTTGCTTATATTTAAGATCTGTTGTCCACTCTCTTTGCTGGCCTCAGAGTGAGAATCCCCGGATCTTGCCAGTCAAATAGACAGGCCTACAAATGAATGATTTGAACGCTAGTCTGTAGTTCCTCTGTGAAGAATGCTGAACGTTTTCAGAGCAACGTGTTCACCGTCCTGTAGGTGAAGTAGAGGACAAAAAACACAAATAAGGCTCGACCTAAAACTATGCTGATAACAGGTATGAATATATTCATAATGTGATTATTCTGCAAGTATGGTTTTGAACAGATGTTGCATCCTTACTGGTAGAGAGAACCGCTCAGTACATCAAGAATTCCACCTAAAAACAAGCAAACATTCCAAAAATATAATCCAAAAAAGACTGAAAGTAATTACATAACATATATATAGCTAACAAATAATAGTGTTTGGTTCAGCGTAAGCTAAGTGAACTTTGATACTCTCAAATTAATCAAGAGTGCGCATCCTATTAATAGCAGCATCATACCTGGCTGGCAGACTGTTTCACAGATCACAGGACAAACGTAACAGTAGGAACAATCCTGTGGAAGAAGATAAGAGGGTAGATGATGCATAACGTGCATAGATGTTTGTTTTTGTTGTTGTTAAATGAGGTGTAGTGTTCAGGTGTCCACATACATTTGGCCTTTATTAATATGAATTTTGATCATATTAAGAAGAAGAAAACCTACTTCGCAGTGATTGCAGTGTGCTGACGTGTCCCCTTCCTCACAGGGACATTTGTCACAGGTACCGCAGTGCTGAGAGGTGGACAGAGATAGAGTAGTAAGCTACACCTCTGCTCTTTACTGGGGAGGTTTAGGAAGGGATCACACCAAATCTATACTTAAGTAAGTTCATGGGTTATACTAAAGTTCCGTGGGTTTTGCGTGTGCTAAAAATAGGTGAAATTATCACCTAAAAGTAGTTGAAAAATATGTACCTCATGTGCTGATCATCGTCATGATGATGTCATCAGGTTTAAAAATGGATTGATTTCCAGTGACATTCAATCAAAATACTGCAGACTATTAATAATTATTTTATCAACATCAACAAAAGTAGTCTTTTCACTGCAAAGCTGCATCTGACATAGCATGATTATTCAATGCTGCTTAAAAGGTGACATGCATATATTTTCACAGCAGTCGCATGATGCTGCATACCGTAAATGTCCTACATAACGTATATAAATTATAGAATTAAAGGAATTAATTATATAGCAGAACTGCAATATTATGACAAATTATTGTTGATTATTGCTTCTGAATTTGTAATGATGTCTACAGCTTCAGGCTGTCTATACAAAATGAATATCTTGTTTACATCGTAGCAGCACTTTTTTGTTTATGAAGAGAGAATCCGTGAGACTGCAGGATTCAGTCAGCATACTGAACAAACTGGCATTTTCAATGGATTTCTTAATCGCTGCTTACTAACATAAATGGTAAATTTAGTAAATGGCAATAAAAATTGTCCCTTATTTTAAAGGATTAGTTCGCTTCCAGAATAAACGTCACTTTCCAACATGTCTAAGTAATGTGTGAAGTCATGGATGCGCATCGTAGAGCTAGTGCAAGATGAGCATTTGTGATTAAAAAGTATATACATTTTTTTTTTTAGAAAATGATAATCGTTTTGCTAGATGAGACTCTTGTTCCTCGGCTGGGTTCGTGTAGAGCCCTTTGAAGCTTCATTGAAACCGCAATTTGAACCTTCAACCCATTGATGCCTGTTGAAGTCCACTATATAGAGAAAAACCTTAATTTCTTTTTGACTGAAGAAAGAAAGACATGAACATCTTGGATGACATGGGAGTGAGTAATTTATCATGAAATTTCTATTCTGGAAGTGAACTAATCCTTTAAACTTGGGCGCATTTTTGCCCCAGGCCCAGTTAAAAACTCTCTTAACATGAATAGGAACTGGGGCATGTGTGAGTCAGTAATGTAAGTGCAGTGTGGTAGAAGCGTGGTTACCTCACAGACTGAGCAAAGTGCACAGAAAGAGCCTGAGCTATACATTACATCCTTCGTGGAGACCAACTCTTGTCCCTCTACATTTTCCTCACTGGCAGTTTCTACATAGAGAGAGAGAGAGAGAAAAAGTAGGTTTAACAAAGATCTTAATATTCCTGTCAAAAACAGCCCACAAAAAGATTGCAATCCAGGTTTTCTATACGCTGATTTGCAGTGAAAAATAAATAATTAAAAAGAAGAATATGAAGTAGAGAATGGTTGCTTTTTGATGTTCTGTTGCAGGTATATTATGACTCCTCCCCCTGAACTTTCAGTTGCCCTGTATTGTGCTCTCTCATTGGCTGTAGGTCGTCGCCAAGCGGCAACCTTCCGGTCTCTCTCGTGAAGCCAACACGGAAGTGACTAAAACTGCAATTCATCGCCGTCAAGCTAGGTGGGCGTGGTTTCAGCAACCAGCTCCCGCCTCTTTGCCCATTTTCGATTATCCGGGAGTGATGCGCAGTGACGCGCTGCCAAGATGGTGACGGCCGGCTCTGCCGGTCTACTTTAGGCTTCAAAAACGCTCAATGTCATTTCCTGTCAAAACAAATTTTACACTGAAGGACTGTGAGTCGCCGACAGATATCTTACGGGCATCAGTGATGCATTGGTGCTTCTCTCGGATCGCCTCTTTGATAACACTAATGCTATTGTCACACACGTGAATGAGCACTGATTTGCCTCAGATTTCTGGCATTCGGCAAATTTCCACAAAACTGTTGACGATTGAATATTGGGGCAAAAATTGTGTAATGTGTGCCCGTCTTTAGGCCTTGTTGCAGCTGGTTAAGACACTGCTAAGCTCAACTATAAAGCAATCAGTGGACAAGTACTTAACTGACCCTTCACAGGGAGTTTGATTGACAGGTGATGTGACCAATCGTAACACCGAATCTGCTATTTTTGTCCAACAAACCAGACAGGAGAGTAGATTAATGTATTTGTATAACGTATTGACATCTTGTGAAACAAGATACCTTCTAATGTTCATTTATGTTTATTTCGTGCTGTAACTAGTATGGGCACTTGTATGAAATGATCGCTATATGTGATGCTTGAACTGAGGTGCTACAGTGATCTGTCACAAAACATTAAAAGCCACAAAATGGTATTTATTGTTTGAATTTCTTAAAAAATGTCTTTGTTTCATACCAAAAGTAACATGCTCTGTCTTGTCTGTCGTTGCGTTGTCAGTTTCCTCTTTGCTCCGCGATATAATTTTCACTGCGTGAGAACATGTGTGGCATGAGAGTGGCATGGCTTGTCGGACATAGCAACAGTAATGGGTGGAGAGGAAGCTTTGCGAAGGGTCAATTAATAGGTGATTCTGAAGAGGAAGTGGAAGCTCTGCTTTTGTAAAAAACATGCAAATCAAATCTCCATGGTTCCAACAAGTGAGGACACCAACAAGGTGGCACCTACAGCCTAAAACACACCGCACAATTTTCGTCTGTCCCAGACGAAAGATTTGCATAATTAAACAATCATGGCGATTTCTGTGATCATGGCTCTTAATCGGTGGTCCTGTGTCGTACCATGAGAGAGGTTCAAAAGACGGCCGTTGTCACGGTCTTGTGACCAAGGATAGTCTATGATCATTTTCTGACCAACGTTTACTGACCAACCAATAAAAATGCAACATGAAATCAATGCGAAATGGCGCTAAAACATAAAACTGCTTACCTCAAGCTCTTATCCCTTCCTCTTTTGCCGCTTCCACTTTTTTTCCACACAAATAAAAACTACAACTGCTAAAGTGTGATTTATCATGCTCTTTTTGTTTAGCACTAGCGCATGCTAATGACGTTTTATTCTTCTATAGTAATGTGCGTCGTAGAGTATGAGTCCATTGGTGTCATCATCATACAGTCTACACGCATCGTAGTCAAGTTTATTAGATCCATGTGGAACAGTGTGGCATGCAATGATCTTATTGGATTGCTAAAATCATGCAGTGTGTCTCGGGCTTACAGCAGGGTTTGTCCAATTCTGTTCCTAGAGTGCCACATTCCAGCAGAGCTTAGGTCCAGCCCTAATTAAACACACCTGAACCAACCAGGATCTCTAGACACTTCCAGGCAAGAGATAAACTTTGTAGGACAGTGGCCCTCCAGGAGCAGGATTGGACAACCCTGGCGTTCCTTAATACTCCATCTTACTACCTTCTTGTTGTTTACCATAAGGAGACATCCACTCCAGGGTACCTACACTCACAGTCTTTCTATATCTGTTGGAACTGCCAGTTGGCTGACTTTATCCCTGCCTTGGCCAGTCAGTCAAACCTCTTAAAATGTTTTGGTCTGACAGACATGGATCTGCACAGATAACATGGCAACTCCCTCAATCCCGTCTTCAACTTTGGAAATTCATTACTCTCTCTTCTCTCTGCAAAAACACATCCTTAGAATATCAATTACTGCTACTGCCAAAGTTTCACAATGTCTCTGTATTGACTTTAACGTTCACCTGGACAAACCTCAACCAGCTGACTTCCTAGAATTTCTGGCCTCATATTTCGCTGCAGCACACAATGCAAGCGAACAGGCTCACCCATAACTGTATCCCTAACCATAATCTTGTTGCTTTCTTGAGCAAGTATCAATCTTTCATCTCCTTCCTCTCCTTTACTTGTTTCTGCTGCCAAGGTCACTTACTACCGAAACAAGATCAGCAACACTTCAGACACCTGCAGACTATTCACAGGATCTTGTACAAGAGATCTCTTCAACTCCATTCTATCATATCAATGCGTTTGGCTACATTCCCACTATATTTAAGAAGGCCTGGATGACCCCACAACACTTAACCCTACAACAGTTGAAAGCTACAGACTAGTGCTGTCAACTTTTCTGTCAAGGTATTGAAAGATTTATGTTTAGTCAGCTCTAAGGTTTCCTGGAGAGAATATGTGTCAAAGTCACATCGGATAATCATTGGGGTGCAGGGTTCAGTGCTTGGTCCTTTCTTTTTCTTAATGTATACTTTCTGTTCTGTTTTCTTTCTGCTTTTATTACTTATTATTTTTGGACCCTGCAGGTAGACACATTTATCTAATGTATCTACTATTAAACACTATTCTTGTTTATGAAACTTCATATAAAATTAATGCTGAAAATTTGTGTAATTACAACAAACCAAAACGACTTGAATTATTCTGTTTACATTAACTCAAAGTCTCCCACCATCTAGCATTAAAATGAATTGCAATGACTTGCCACCCTGGGTCACATGACTATAAAAAATACAATTACTTCTTTGAAGTGTCCCTTCTCTAAAGGACTTGGTGAAGGGCCCATTGTGAAGGAATTTACTTGTTCACTTTTTTTTTGTAATGCCTCAACAAATAGTGTCCCTTTCTCAAAGTGTCCTTAATAGGGGTGCAAAAATTGAATTTGTTTACTCATCTTACAGCAGTCAGTTAAGGGAAAGCTAGTTGACATTTGCCCCTGAGATAGATACGGTTGCTTTGTTCATTTTTAGATGGCAGCTAAAACTCAAATGCACTTTGGTGCTTGTGAATTTTATGTTGATAACAAACTCTAGGTTTCAGAGTTGGCCAAACAGTCGAGTATATGTAACGCATATGCCATGTGTTAGGTTCATGTCAACAACATTCAGCCAGAAAGGACTTAAAGTGGTTGGAATATTTCAGCTGCTGTAGCTGTTCTGATATAGTGAGCTATTTTAGAATGTGTGACTTCATAGACTCACTGAGAGGCATTAGGTTTTAGAACGTGTCATTTGCGGTGAAAACTAACCATTTTTATAAAGTACATTATCAGTATTAATGATTGATGAATTGTAGTAAGTAGTATGTTAAAGTAATATGTTAAAGTAAAAATTACTCAGGGACTTAAATACGGTATGTATTACCATTAATATTATTTTTTATAATCGTTCTTAAGAAAACTTCACGTGTCAGTAAAATTTTCTATTTTCTAATTTCTACTTGAAGTTTCTGAGTTAGTTGTTTCCTAGCTTTTTTCACGTAAATATAGTCTAAAAATATTTCTGTTTTCAGTGTAAGTAAAAACACTTAACATTGATTGTGAAGGCTATTTAATTATTAATTCAGTAGTTACCTTCAACAGTATCTGTGGTCTCTTCATCTGCACCTTCATCTCCAGCCTCCTCATTATCTTCATCAGCAGTTTCATTCTCCTCATCTGCCTCTTCCTCTTCCTCACCTGGTGCTCCCTCATCCTCTGCGGCTGTTTCTTCTTCCTCTGTTATCTGTTGTGCTGAATCCTCTTCTTCTGCTAATCCTTCCTCTACTTCTACCTCCTCTTTCTCTGCATCCTCCTCCTCCTCCTCCTCTTCTGCTACTTCTACCTCTTCTTCTTCCTCTGCTGGTTCCTCTTCATCTGCTCCCTCTTCTGCCTCATCCTCAGCTTCTGCCTCAGTTGATTCTGCCTCCTTAGTTATCTCCTCTTCTGGTGTCACCGCTTCCTCTCCATCATCTTCATCTTCAGCTCCCTCTGCTTCCCCATCTCCTCCCACGTCTTCATCTACTTCTTCAGATATATCTCCAACCTCCTCCTCATCAGCCACCTCCTCTTTCTCACCTCCAGTAGGGTCCAGACCGCTCAGCACCTCGGCTTCCTCACTTTGCAGCCTTTCTTCAGCCTGCACAGAATCCCCGAACGGTCCAGTGCAAAGCAGAGCTACGATAAGCCCCAACAGCCAGCTATGTGAAGCTACCATCTTGCAGTCGCTCCCTCACACAAATACAGTCAGTTTATAAAAAATGTGTTCGTATCCACCCAAGAGGAGCAGTTTCTTATGGGGTTCAATGATCCAAGATCTTTAGATCTTTGGACCAAGTACTTGGAAGTGCAGACGCTGGATCCACCAGAGGGAATTAGAGAGGTAGTTGAGTGAGAGAGGGGGCTGGTCTCTGTTGTACGGTCACATGCACACTTGCACCATTCAGAGAATGGTGTAGAACAGAGGAACATACTGAGATGATTGACAGGGCCACATGCACAAGACACACTTCTAATGCCTTTTATTATTACTTCTTTGTCTATGTGAGAGAAAATTAGATAAATAGAAGTGCTCATGAGTAATGGAAGATTATAGAAAGGCACAAATCAACTTTAGGACCAACATTACACAAACATAGACCCAACTGAGTGAAGCCAGTGCCATTTTGACCCTCCTTAGGCCTGGCTGGGTCTGGTGGGTGGGAAGCTACAGTATATAAAGAGGCTCTCAATAGTAGCAGTACATTGCATGATCTGACCTTCAATAGATCACTCAGCTGCTGAAACACCATCCCTCTCTCACTCGCTCGCGCTTTCCCTATATCAGGTCCTTTTCTAAAGGTCACCTCTATACGTCTTAATCACTGCATACCTTGATATCTACTGCTGTATGCACCTGCTACCATTTACGTCACCAGATGGTGAAAATGAAATGGATTTGTATTCACTTTCAGGAAGATTTTAATCTAAACACTCTCCACAGGTTCCTGTATAAGTTTTTCTTTCCTGACTCATACCGGAAAACTAGGGCACTTTTTGTCCACAAAATGATAAGAACAAATACAGTATATATACCTTCTTTGGGGAGTATTTTCACTTAAGCGTTGCAAGCCATGCTTGTTTTCTCTCGTCAGTCTTTGACATTGAATGCAATGCATACTGGTTTGCTGGTGCTAAAAACAAATAATTTCCAGAAATTCCTTTATTAGCTTGACCTTGAGCTCTTTTTTTATCCCAGTAGTATTCAAAAACGTTTTTGTTTAATTCATTTTCTGTTTTTACCCAGTATTAACATAAGTTCCTGTGGAGACCGGAATAGGCCAACAGTTCAATGAAACTTAGAATCCGCCAATGGGGCTGCTTATTGGTTGCTTAGAAGATTGGATCTCAGTGATCCATGAACCAGTGTCAATATGGTTTTAGAATGTAGACATTTTTAATTATACATTTCTATATCTTGATTTCATGGGGTTTTCAAAGATCCTCAAGTATCCTGTGTGTGTTGATAGATATATATATATAAAGAGTCATAGTTAATTCTCTTATTGGCCTGATTAGCCACAAAAGAAGCCCTACAAATCAATAAAAGAATACATATTATATACACAGACACTTAAGAGTTTGAAAGATTGGTATAGATTTAATAGATTACATTACATTTTCAAGAACAACATTTGCAAACGAGTCTGCATTGCATTTACACTGCTTTGACCACCAGTGTCACCGGCCTATGTGTTTTGAGCATTTTAAAATAGTAAACAGCCGATTCAACTGATTTGGAGTTTTGAAAAGCTCTGTTTCTCTCATCACTAAATTATAATTCTTGACTGTCACATAACTAAAACCTATTGCCATTTTTTTAAGTGACTAACTGTCCAACCCAAACGTCCTGTTTCAATTGACAATACATTAACACAGGAAATTAGTGGGATCTACAAGTCCAGAGTCCATAGGGTGAGGGTGGGGAAGAGAGAACATGGTGAAGGATCTTTGTTGCCCCTGAAATCCGAGATGCAAACTTGGACACGCAGTCTATTTATCTCCTCTCTGTCTGCTGATTCTGTTCTGCTGTGGTTGCCAAAACAGTACAATCCTTTAAATAGTTGCATCAGATATTATAGTTTCAAAATGTACTTTAAAAGTGTAATACAAAAAAAAAAAAAGAATACAAGATCACAAATAAGACAATGAAGAACTCATAAAAATGTCATCACAAAATCAAACATAAATATCCAAACATGGAATAAAAAAAAAAGACCCAAACAAAATCCGAGAACATTGTTACAGAATGCAATTACAGTATGAATCTTATGAAAAATATTTTGCTATATTTAAAATGTAAACAATCATTGCAGCATTCCAGTTCCATATTTGAGTGCAAAAATCATTCAATTATAGATTTTTAGTTTGTTTGGTTTATCAAATAATAAAGTTAGATATTAAAACATCCCTATTGAACATTAGACTTATTTCATGTACTGTAACATATGTGTGTCAAGATATGTGTCAAGACTATATAATCAATAAATACGAGTTGTTCATAGGTGTTTGGTTCAAAAATTAAAATACAAAAAATGACATACAAAGTATAAGTTACAATATGCTTTCTTTGTTCCTACTGCAGCTTTTAAAGGGATAGTCCGCCAAAAATCATTTACTCACCCTCAAGTTGTTCCAAACGAACAGTTGCTGGTCCCCATTGACTTCCATAGTATTTTTCTTTTCATACTATAGAAGTCAATGTGGACCAGCAACTGTTTGGTTACCGATATTGTGTTATAGCTCTATAAAATCAGATTCTAAGAAGACAGTTACCCTGACCTTATAATAAAACCTAACGATAAAAGTAATCTATGAATGTAACATGACATAATTGACCTTTTAGTGTACAGTAAGTTCAAGGACGTTCTGTGTCCTGTTCTCTTCCCACAATCACATGGAAAACCAGAACAGGTCATTTGGGAGCACTAAACTTGTAAGAGCAGGATGAACCATGAAAAGACCAGGATGACCAGTTTATAAATGGAAACCAGAACAATACGGGCAGTTGTTTGACAGGTCATCGGCCTGTCTTTTACTAGCTCTCTGCAGCTTCTTGGTTCATGTGTCCGTGAGAGTGAGAAACAGAAGACGAATACAGGAAAGTAGGCTTTTTTAATTTTTCATTTCTCATTGGAGGCTGAAATGACGGCTGATGACAAAAAGATGAACTATCAGTTTAGGCTAGAAATTAAAAAAATAAATAAATAAATCTTCTAATTGCCAGACAATGGCAAATATATTCAACTAAAGCTGTGGTTCTCAACTGGTTTGACTGGACATCAACAAAAAAGCTGACAAATATTTTAATGCTCTCAATTCTCTATCCTTATATTTTACACACTGTGTAATTTCCAGACAGAAGTTTACAGCATTTCACAATTATACCGCCGAAATAAAAGCTATTATTTGAAAGGTTTGAGGTTTTGAATGTTTAAAGGTGAAGAATTTAAGACATGCATATTAGTATTGTAACTTTAAGATAAAAAATATTTATAATATTATCACATTCCATTTTTATTTTACAGTATTGTAGTTTACAACTAGTATATTTCTGTCATTCTTTTTTATAATTGGAGTTAAAAGCAATAATAATAATAGTTCAAATCATTATGAAAATATAATTCCAATTAAAATTTTTATGCAGGCAGACAGACACAGATATATAGATAGATAAAAGTACAAAAAAAAACATTAAATATTTTATCTGTTTACTTGCATATCATGTGACTATTAATCGACATCAGAGAACCATGAATATGCTGTTAAATGATAGAAATATTAAAAACTTAATCTCAGGGGAACTTCCAAGTATTCATTTATTTATTTGAACCCTTCTTTTAAATGATCACTTATTATTTTTACATGCTATTCTTGAATCTTTTATTTTTGTGAGCCACCAGTTGAGAAACACCGTGCTAAAATATATGTGAGTGTTGTGACAGAAGCAGGTGTACCTTTGCGAGTCGGGTGTGTTTTAGGGCTCTTCATTGTACTGCTCTGAGACAGAGCTTCCATAATCCACTGAAGAGAAGACGTACAGAACTCCATCTGCATACAGGGGAGCATTCATCTATCAACAACAGCTAGATATAGTCGATATGCAGCGTAATACAGATATCACATTATGTGCCCTTACATCTGATTCTAGTGCTCGCAGTCTGCGGTCAACATCTCTGATCTCACCAACCTGTTTAATGACACCGTCCACTCTGAAACACATCACATCAACATTCTGCTTTCATCTGAGGAACAACAATTTTCGATCACATTTTGATTTGATTTATCTGACTCAGATTGATATTTTTTACTTTTTTAGCAAGTAAAAGGCCTTTTAGTATAATTGTAAAAACATCCGCCTTCAGGCCATAGTCCACCTGTCTTTTTGCTTTGAAATCTTTACTGATTTTTAGACAAGTAAACATAACAATAACATTTATATTGTTAGTAATACAGTATTTCAAGATGAACATTTACTGGGCCAAAGCAACTTAGGTTTACTAAGATCCATGCATTTTTTTTTTTTATAAAAAATCAAGTTGAACTGTATCAAACATGACACATCAGGTTCATCTCTCAATCATCATTGTATTATGTTGCTTTAAATGTTTTGAAATGTTACGTTAATCCAAGTCAGTACATGCATACTGTCTTATATACATATATATACTATTTAAAGGATTGTACTGTTTTGTACATATATATATATATATATATATATACAGTGGTGTGAAAAAGTGTTGGCCCCCATCAGGAAGGGGGCCAACTCTTTTTCACACCACTGTATATGCTACCAGAATTTCATCAACATGTCAACATTCCTACTAGAGAACAGAACACACTGGATCACGTGTATACAAAGTTAAAGGGAGCTTACAAAGCGAAGTCCCAACCTCATTTTGGATGCTCAGACCACATTACAATTTTTCTACACCCAACCTACAAACAGAAGCTGAAACAGTGTGCTCTAGAAAGGAAAATCATCAAGTGTGGTCTGAGACAGCTGAACAAACACTGAAAGACTGTCTTGCATGTTCTGACTGGGATGTATTCAGAACAGCAGCAATACAACAGGACTCCACAGTCACTATTGATGAATATGCATCAACTGTTACAGCGTATATCAGCAAATGCATACACAATATCATACCACAGAGGACCATTTGCACATATCCAAATCAGAAACCATGGGTTACTGCACAGGCACATTACAGTCTATGTGCTCGCTATGGCTTTTAAAACGGGACTCGGAGGCCTACAAAAAGTCAAGATATGATGTTCGCAAAAGCATTAAATCTGCCAAAGCATCCTACAGACAGAGGCTGGAATCTTACTATGCTGCAC